CACCAAATCCCTTTCTCCTTGCCCCCCATGTAGCCTAACCCACAATCCTTCTACTTCCTCATCCTTGGATTCCGTCTTGATGAGGGTCGATGTATATTGCTCATTGACATAGAGCGCAACCCCTCCCCCTTTTTTCCCCACCCTGTCCTTTCTGTACAATCTATAACCCTCAATATGTACCGCCCAGTCGTGGGACGAATCCCACCAGGTTTCCTTTAAACCTACTAAGTCATAGGTGTTTTGTGCAAGCAGGAGCGCTAGTTCATCCTGCTTGTTCCCCATGCTCCTAGCATTAGTATATAGGCACTTGAGCCCTGCGACTGGTGCCTTTGCTGCCCCCCCTCTCCGAGTCCCAAGGGGCCCCTTATTTCTTACCTTCTCGTTGCTTACCTGTGCTGTAGTGCTGGCCACCCCATGGCTTGCAGGTTCCCAATGTTCTCCTTCTTCAGGCTGGGCTGTCCTTGTGGGTGCCACATAGTTTGGTGGTCCACATCTTTCCCTTGTAGATCTTCAAGTCCAACCCCCTGCCTGGGCAGGAGGGAAACTGGGCTCAAGTGACCCCAGCCAGGTAGGCATCGAGCCGCTTCTTAAAGACCCCCAGGGTAGGAGCCAGCACCACTTCCCTTGGAAGTTGGTTCCAGAAGCACATTAAGAAGCATCATTAAGAAGCACACTTCTATTTTGAAATGAGTGCTGCCTTTGGTTACTTGTTTAACCACAGTAAATTAAACCAGGGTATTTATTGTTCTAATGTAATTTACTGTTTTTTGTTTAGCTATTATTTCTGTGGGGAGAAATTATTATCCACTTCTGTTGCCTATCTTGATTGAGTCGTACGCTATTACATACATTACAACAGGATACCTAAACAAGTGCCACTGTACAAAAACATTAATATAATTGCAAAGAATGCTAGTTTGCATATTTAGCACACAGAAATGAACAAAGAATTTCATTTTTGTTATAATAGATATTCACTTTTTAAAAATAAATGAAGCCACTTATAATGTTTTGTTTGTTTAGGGATCATTATGTAATGAACTCTAAAACAGCTTGAGCATAAAGGCCTTCTGTGAGAGAGTTTTCTTATTCACCTTTGGAAGAAGGGCACAAGAGGAGCTTAGAAACATAAGTAAAATGATTTGGTGGTCTTATTTTTGTGACCTATTGACAAATCACAAGTACGCTACAAATCAGCATGTAGAAGGTCAGATTCTGCTCCCATTTTTAAATCAGTGGTATTAAGTCCATTATTCAGTACAGTTAGCAAGTTTTATCCAGACAGTCTGTAGGGCCTAGCTGATATAGACAATGAGCCACATCTACATGGGAAATTGCATCTTCAGATCAAAATATAGGTCACCGTGGGGAGAAACTCTCATTACAGCCCATTTGCTGATAAAAGGGTTTTGGTTTCTTTTGCAAACCATTGATTAATCTACTTGAACAAAGATATGCATGTATGCACATAAATAAAATAAATGGAATTTTTAAAATGATGATATTTCTCAAAAAATGTATTAAGCTATGATCACCTTTCTCATGAATGCTATGCTTCATTTTTAAGCTCAGCCTTTTCTGTCTAATTCCACTCTTGGTCAGAATCCAGTCCTATATCTTAGAAATGCCCAGACTTCCTGTGTTCTGTGTAGAGAACTTCAGAAAAACTCTGTGCTGTCAGAAGTAAGGATGGAAATTGGAAGTTATGCGTGTCAAGCACTGAATTGCAGTACTTAAAGATGCCAAAGGATCAACTCTTTGAGAAGCAAACCAAAAATGTCATATTCCCCGATCATGTTCATTCAACCTGATCTGAACTTTTTTTCTTTTTTTTTCCCCTTTCTCATAGATGACAGTTTGTGTTATCTAAATCTTTTCATTGGGTTTTTATTTCTTGTATGTGTGTTTCTTTAAATATACACAGTCCCGACTGACAACTCAGAATGAGGCCATGGCCCTTCAGTCAATAAGAAACATCAGAGGCAATTCTCACTGTGTGGACTGTGAGGCTCAAAGTAAGTACAACCATTGCTACACAAGAAATGTTATCCTTGACTTATAAAGCTTACACATTTTCTTTGGTCCAGGGTTATGTGAACAGCTGTTCTGGTTCTTGCCCTCTCGGTATTGTATCCCATATCCCTTTTCACATTTGTAACTCACTATTGAATTTGATTAGTTAGGTATGTTTTATGTTTTTTTCATACTTAATTCATGGTGTGTTCAAATGTCCTGATTTTTTCCAGTGTTTCATTTTTCACATTAAGTGTGAGTTTATATACTTCTTGCTGCACCTTGTATTTGTACACTTTTCTTTGAAGATGGCTTTCTTTCAGCTTTTTTTTTTTTTTACAACATATGATGCTCCCATTACCCTTCAATAAAGGCAGTACATGATCTAATAGGATTATGTACCCTATCAATCCTATTAGAGGTAGAAATCTTTACCTGGCCTTACTTTTTTTTTTTTTTTTACTTCAGTGGCAAAGAAAAATAAACCAATTACTATTTGGATATTGATATTGGATTTTTTTCCCCTAGTGCTTTCTTTTATTCTGGGTTCATGCCACTGAGGTTGAGCTCACCAGTCTGTTACCCCCTAGTTCCAGGTTTTTGTGCCTCCATTACAAGAATTAGCTTTTGGCTAAAATTACAAGACCATATTCTCACATCAAAAGCAATTAGTTGTAAAACAGAAGGAAATGGCATTCAAATTTTATACCCTCTTAAATATGAAAAACATTTATTTCTGGTAATTATATAAGCAATAAGAAATTAAGTTAGTCAAATTTTTATTTTTATATTAAACATTTAAAAATGAAATTTTATAGACCTGTTGATTTAAAACATGATTCAGTTCTCTCTTTAGCACCCATCCTAGACTTAAGACTAAAATGAACCGTTCAAGAAAAATGCGAAAGTCTCTCCCATATCATTCACTAGGCATACAAATAAAAATAAAGCTGATCGCAGTAACCTATCAATAAACCCATCATATTACCATCCTGTCAACCTGCCTCTTGAATGGCCTGAGTGAGGGGCCATTAAAACACTAGTGAGCATTTAAAATATAAGTTAATTTTTTAAACTGCAACATTTAAATGTCCAACTACTAATCTTAGAAAGGTACCTCACATGTAGATTTTTTTTTTTTTTGCTTTCTAAAATATGGGTAAAATACAACTTGGTCCCTTCCTTTTTTTTTTTTTCTCCCTTTCCTTTTGCCTTCAGAGGAACCAGTTCATGCCAATACGCCCTGCAATAAGGGAAGTTTTGTCACTACTTCTTTTGAAGTTTTTAAGATAAGAAGAGGCTGTCCATGGAGGGAAACTCAAGAGTAATGCCAACGCTTTCAGGGTCCCAGGAGCTGAGTATATTGCCTGTGTAGTGATTGAGGCCTTTGTTACATTGGGCATTGAGCACCTGAGCTCCAGATCCTATTTCAGATACCTTCAAAGCTAGGCATTGACATGTTTTGAATAGATCTTTCATGTAAATTTTATAGGAGCTTCTTGCAGGCAGGTACCAAAAGGGGTTATACAAATAAAGCAAGGGCTTTACATCCTAGTGCTAGTAGCTGAGCAAAGAAGAATATAAGACAAATTCTGAGTTTTCTTCTTTACAATATATTTTATTTCCCACAACTTCTTAATGCAGTTTTCATATTAATAGGGTTACCAGTGTTCAGACCTACTTGGAAGATTGGCATAAGTTCAAATGAAATATAAAATATGCATACAAAAATGATGCATTTCTATGTAACAGAATTTAATTCTGCTAAATGATCTAAATATGTACTTTGTTTATTTGCAGTATTCATTACTGTATGTGAGCAGACTGCATGGTAAAATTGGTTCTGCTTCTCTCTCTCTCTCTCTCTCTCTCTCTCTCATTTTCCATTATTTCACCAGAACCTTATTTTCAGTTGGCTAGAATGGACTGAAAAGGGTATATAACACCCTCACAACAATGTCTGCTTGCTCAGTGGTACTGCTTACTAAAGTTTAACTAGTTATTCATATCCTCCAAGACTTAATCATCAGGTTCTTTTAAGATTTTTAAGAGACAGTATGTAAACATCCATTTATCTTTTGGAACGTACGAATTTTTTTATTCATGACTTGCCTTTACACGTCCCCTATTCCATGCCTGAGTTTATGAGCTTCACCCATCAAAGCTCAGAACTCTTGGGAAAGAAGTGGGTCTCTGCATCTTCACAAATCTAAATGTTTGGTAGCAATGGAATATATGAAATTGCAGCCTCAGCCATGTCCCTATTCCTTCCAGTCATAATGAAGTCTTCAAATTCAAAATTCTTATTCATCCTGTTTCCTGAAACCATTGTCTTGTTAGCACCTTGTTTTAGTATTTAGTTTCTGTTGTTACTACTACTGTTGTGGTTCTAGTAGTAATAAAGAAGCCAATCATCTAGCCCTTTTGCTGCTTTGGACTTAGTTCTTATTAGCACAAAGCAGTAGAATGGGTGAGCCCAAGAAGAAAGCTGTCTCCAAATACTGTACTTGAATGATTTGGATGTTGTGTGGATCTTGTCAGGAACGCTAAATCAAAGCCCTTTGTTAAAGTAGAAGTCTTCTGAGGGATTTTTTTCCCCCTTAAGAGGCCTGTTTCCATCTCAGTCCTTTCCTTTAGGTTCCTCACACTGAAGTTCTTGAAAGAGATAATGACCCCAGACCAAATTCTGAATCTGTTCCACTTCCCAGAAATGCAGATAATATTTTTATCACCATTATCTTGTTGATTCCTCAAGTTTTCAGAACTCCTTATTCAGGACTGCAGAATCCTTTAGTCTGGAAATGTTCAGCAATCAAAAAAGCTCATATTGTCTGTTCGACATACTGGGCACATCTACACATTAATTACATTCATTAACGTGATGAAGTTACTGCACATTAAGTTTAGTACCTGCAGTAACAGGTACTAACTCAATGCGCAGTAACCAGCACTACTACACAGTAGTGCTAGTGCACACCTTTTAAGTGACGCTAGTGCGTGGTAGACTAATTGTACTGTTCATTAGCCTATTTGAATGACCTTTACCATGACATGTTAATGCACAGTAGAATTAGTCTACTGCTTCTTTAACGTCTCGTGTAGATGTGCTCCCTGTGTAGGTAAAACAAAGTGGAAATATAATCTTTTTTTAAAACAAATAGAGACTTTAGGGACTTTGTCTCATTCTGTCATAAAATCTAAGTGTATCCAGAAAAGAGAGACCACAATTCATCATGTCCATGCACCATGGTCCTGAGCACTTTTATAATACTTTAACCCCAGGATTATTGGGGTAGAATAATGGAGGATGTAGATAGAAAAATAGTTGATCTGCATCTTCAAAAGGACTACAAGGTTTGCCAAGTACCAAACATTGCTTATTGGTTTTCCCCTGTGTGTGTGTGTGTGTGTTGGGGTTGGGTTTTTTTTTTTGGTTCTTTTATTTTTGTTTAACCTAGATCAAGCTTAATGAATCATGTTTGTGCCATAAGAGAAGAGTTACAAAAGAAATGCTTTCCTACACATGGCATGCTGAGAGGGCAAAAGTTAACAAAACTTCTATGTTAATTTTCAGAAGAAAGCCATTCTATGATTGTATCTAGTATAGTTTACAGCATACATGCATGATGAGCTCCATATTATTAGTCAATCCGTTCCTGATGGCCAGCCAGCTTGTTGTTTTCTATATTCCAGAACATGGGAATGCAAAACCACATACTCGTAGGTCTCAATCAAACTTCATAGGGTACTTGAGGGTTGACTCTGACAAAAATGTAAGAAGTTGAAATTGGACTTCTGCTCAGGTTTTTTGTAGAATTATTCACTTGATCTGCCTTCTAGTTGTAATGGCCAGTACAAGAGAGGAGCTGTCTGTCAGTAGTCATTTAATGAAAGTTCCCCAGAACCTGACTCCTTTGTAAGACATTACTGCTTGATAATTTTCCAGTTCAGAGAGAGTTCTTGAAGAACTATTGTTCATGAAGATGGTTGCCTGTCACCGTCCTTGTTTGTGAAGTCAGAAGAAGCCTTGAGAAATTGTCCTTTATGGATTCCTCATTTATGAATATTTTAAGGCAAGAATAGGGAGCTGTCGTTCTATCGTTAGGTGTTAAACATTTCACTGATGTTTGAGGGGTAATCTAAAACCCCTGAACATTGGTCTTGGCAAGTCAGCACAAAAGATTTTACTCCAAACCTTCAGTCTTATAAATTTTAATTGAAAATGCATTCTGTTATTAGCCTGGCTCTTAAATGGTTATTTTAAAATATATATTTTAAAGCTAACATTCAATATTGCATGAGTTTCTTCTTGTAAAGGTGACCTGAATGCAGGGGGAGATGAGGAAGGTTTGTTTCTCTTCATACTTCATCTATGATTTACATATGTTGAAAGGAATGGGAAGTTTTGCCTTCCTTGTTCTTAGAAGGCTCACTGGAAGGCTAAAGTTTATACTGTGCTTAGCTTTCTCAGCAATTAATATAATGTTTGAAAGTGGCAGAAATTTTAATATATAGACCTGTTCTTCATTTTGAATAAATGTTAATTACATTACAGTTGAATAGATTTGTCTGAAGAAGTTTTAGGACTGCTTGAAATTTTTACATAAACATTTTAATGGCACATTAGATTTTCAGCTGAAAAAAAAAATCTGTCTGCCTTGCTAGATAATATTAATTTCTTGGCTGAAAACCAAGAAATAGTTTTGGTTTTCAGTATCTTTTGGTTGTCTTTTTTTTTTTAGTTTCTCATTGCAGGAAAGGGGGGGAGGGAATAATCTTTTACCAACCTTTTCCTTGAGAAAGGAGGGAAAATTGATGGTCATTTTCTGACCAGCGCTGGATTTTACACGGTTTAAATAAAAATCTCCTGCCCTGTCATTTTAATCAGGTTTTTCCTTCTTGATATTTGAGATATCCTGCTCATTCTTCAGGGGGCCGTGTTTCTCCCAGGAAAAGGAGAATGGAAAAGATCTGACAGGAGAAAAAAGCCACCAAAAATTCTCCCATAAAAAGTTTTTATTTCATTTGTTAAACTGAATGTTTGTTCGAGAGAGATTCATACAAATCTAGATTTAAATAACATAGGATGGTAACAAAAATGAACCATCTTGGGAAATGACTTTGAATTTCCCGGCTTTTGTCAGGTTTGTCACAGCCTTATCGTTTGTGGGGTTATTTTTTTTTTGTCTGCAGAATCTTTCTGGCTAGTACACTAAAACTAGGACTGTTCAAAGTAGCACATTTTCATCTTAGTACTTATCTCCCTGATCCTAGAGATGAAAACATACCCCATAGTGTGTTAGATGTAAAAAGCCATATGTAGGTGATGATATAGATGGTTATTAAGGGAGTTGATATAGTTAGCAACAGAGACATTGTATCTAGTAGCTCTTTCTTTTCCTTTTTCTCTTGTAGTAATTGGCTACAAGTGGCTCCAGATACCCAAGGAGGGGCTTTTTCTACCACTTCACCCTGAGCTACCTGCTACTCTGTTTATATTTTCCCTATCTCTTCTTTTCTTTCTAGGATTAAACTTTCCCTTTGACTTTTGAAGGAGTGACATGTGTGCTTGCCTTTAGGACTACCACAGTTCCTTTTTTGAATCATTTGGGGTCTTTCGGAAGAATGCCACACAGATACTACTAGACCTTCCCTAGAAACCAGATTGCCTTTGCTTCATGCTAGGATTCTCAACAGTGCTGAGAGCAAGAGACACAGATATTGCCCTTTGTTTCCCAAATCAAAATTGTTATCCATAAAGCTCAGCAATTCCAAATATAACAAAGCATGTATCTCAAGTATTTTGTTTTGGTGTTTTTCCCCCTCCCTGATGATTGCTTGTTTTGTATTTCTATAGACCCTGACTGGGCCAGCTTGAATCTGGGAGCCCTAATGTGTATTGAATGCTCAGGTATACACCGAAACCTTGGCACACACCTATCACGTGTCCGGTCACTTGACCTGGATGACTGGCCAATAGAACTCATCAAGGTGATGTCCTCCATTGGGAATGAATTAGCAAATAGTGTTTGGGAAGAAAGTAGCCAAGGACGTATGAAACCATCATCAGACTCCACAAGGTAAGCCATCTTGGTCTCTTTGAACAAACGCATACAAACAGCCAATATGTTAAAAATGTATGACCGCATTTGAAAAAAGAACAATGTCCGTGTTTAGGCATGTAGGCTGCCTGTACATGTGCTTGGAGGTGGGAAGGGGCAGCTTTAATTAGAGTGGTTCTGACACAGCCACTCTAATTAAAAAGGCTCTCTATCATGTATATCAACCCCCCTCCTGCTCCCCTCCCCCAGCATTTCAAAATGGCTGTGGGGGCGCTTAACTAAAGCTCATTTAACGAGGTTTAGTTAAAGTGCCACACAGGCATTTTGAAACGCGGTGGGGGTCTTAATACACATGACAGTGGGGGGATGCTGGTGTGTTCTAATTAGAACTCATCAGAGCACACCTAAAGACCTTATTAAAGGTCTAAATCCTTAAATCCTTATTTAGGCACTTCAGTGGTAATTGCTAGTGTTGGCACATCTACTGCTTTCAGGAGTCTAAATTCAGACACCCATTTTTAAATAGATGGTGAGGTATTCCTAGTAAATATAAATTGTCCAGCCAAAAAATGACAAAAATTCAGGGAACTTGATACATTTTGTATTTGACAAGGTTGTCTTTGCAGTCCTTTACCAGTTCTCTCTCTCTCATGAAACAGCAGGAGGTTTGAACCTCTCGAACTTTTGTTCCTTGATCTATATTAGACTGAATGTATTTTTTTTTTAAAACTGGACTTAAAAGTCTCTCTTTCTTGGAATACTTGACTGTAATTAATAATGCGTTTTCAATAACCATAAGCTCTGCCAGCTTATTGCTTTGTTCTTTTATACCTATCTCTAAATACCTGGGTTTGTACAGTCCTGCTGCTGTTGTTTTGAGAGTTCTTTTCAAAATGAGGTTGCTCACTTTCTTTATGCACAGTATGTAGAAGCATAAATCTGTTGGATGTGTGTGTGTCTTCTATAAGAGCATACGGATCATCATAATATTTTATGTACAGGATCAACATAATGAAGATCCTCTCACTGTGGTATGTCACTTGAAAAAAAAAGGGGTGGTTTTGTATTATTCTGTATTCAGTTTCAAATGGTATAGAATAACAAGATGGTCTTAATTATCATGAGTATTAAATGTAAGAGCTAATATTCACAAATAGCAATTAAGGAATACTGCTTGAGAAAAGCAATGTGAGTGTTAGCTGTCTCTCTTTCAGTAGAGCAGGTTTTCAGACATGAGGAGGAGCCTGGACTGCTTTGCCCAGCTGGTCAAACCTTTTAAGTTGCTTTCAGAAATGCATGTCTTGCAGTTGTCACAGTGCCACACTCCAGGGGGTTAGCACATAGAGCCGCCTGCATCTGAGCACTGTTCTGTCCCCAGGTATCAGATATTATGATGGAGGTTTAGCACTTGTGATCAGTGTTTGCCTCACACATTTGAAAGAAATAAAACAAGGAACTGATTTATTAATGTATACACTTTATTTTTGGAGTTTATTCTAATCCAATACCACCATTTACCAAAAGGGTAATAATGAGTCTGTACATGGGCCTCTTGTTGAAGAAAAGAAATCAGTTTTAGCTGTTGACTGTAATAAAGTCAACTGTATCTTATTGCATCATTTCGTTAGCACTGAAAAATGAATTTGTGGTGCCACCTTTGGTTCATCTTAGAGAATGAAGCCAGTATATTAATCGGGCTATTTAGATGAATAGTTGTGTGTACAAATATATTCACAAGACATGCATACATAGGGTTTGTGTGCACGTGAACTATGTGCCTTGTGTATGCTTGAGGGCATATATTTGTTACATGGATCAAATAAATCAAGAATTTCATAAATTAAACTACACTGAGCTTAACATTTTGTCACTAATGCAGCAAAATTATTTAATAATTTTAGGCTTAGTCAGAAGACAGTGGTTTTGTTATTGCATAAATTGAATATCTGTTATTTTGTAATCATGAAGGGTTAGAAAGAGAGCTTAATTCAAACTATTAAAAAAGACTTCCTGAATTTAGTTGATTCTTAAAATTGATGAAAAGAATGCATATAATAAAAGACATCATCTTAGTATATGTATAACCCTAGTTTTGAATGAAAATAATTCAATTCTATGACTGATTTTGAATTAAAGCTTGCTTGCGGGATAGAGGAGAGTTGCATTTTCTGTTACAGGTGTACACTTAATTTTAAACCATCTCTGCTGCTTCACAGTTTCTTCTTATTTAATCTTAATTAATTTTAATTTATTTTAACTTTAACTTATTTTATCTTAATTATCGGGTTTTTCTCACAGTGTTTGGAGAAATCCTTTTCAATGTTCAGTTGCATTTTCTGTGGCTTTTTAGTAAAAGTTGATATTTCTTCCAGAGGAAGCATTTTTTAAAACTCCATTTTTGATGTTTTACTTTGTTTTTGGGACACTTCTTTGCATTTCTTACTTTCCTGTAGTATTAAATAAGCATCATAATATTTACAATTCTGCACATTTTGGACATAAGTTAGGCGGTAGAGTTTTCAATTTAACAAATTGTTCTTCTAGTGTTATTACTGCTGACTCCAGTTTTAGCAGTGATACTGTTATAGGTGTGGAGACTAAAAGTGAAAAAACACTTTTCGGGTTTGGGAAATGGTGTAGGTTATAGTGGGAATGAGCAGAATTAGATGAGCAGAATGAGCAGAATATAGGGGCATTCAGATGTTATGAGCTATGGTAAAGAGTAAGTTGACATGGGGGGACTGAGGACAAAAGGAGAAATCAGTAGCCTTCCTTTCTTGCAGCTTAAGGAGAAAGGGATTCAATTTATTGTGGCCCATAGCAGGAGTGCAAAATGAGCTCCCATCCACTGCCCTAACAGGTAGACAGGTAATAAGATCCCACTCAGTCCACCACATGATATAGTGAAAGAAGGTTTATTTGAAGTGCATTGTGGAGCTGATTGACTGAGAAGAAAAGTTAGGTGGGAGAAGCACATCTGTGCAAGAGATGGAGCTTTCTCAAGGATCAGGTCAGAACTATGTAACAGTTTTCCACGGGAACTAAGGATGTTGGCAAACCTCATCACTCTCTACTTACAAGTGCAAAGCACATTTTCTTTGACCTTGCCTTCTCTAACATAAACATGCAGCAGTGTGTGCATGTATGATATTTAAAAACAAACAAAACCACTCCACTTCATACACTTCCTCTTGATCAGAGAATGAGCAAACAAAAATATGACAGATGTTAGTCACACTGCTTAATGCATTATTGTAGATTGCTCAAATACTATAATGATCAAGGTAGTGTAAGAATGTACACTGTATGAATTTGCAGAATAGAATAGGTTTTTTTTAGGGTAGCTTTTTTAGGTACATGTGATATCTTTTACCTTTAATTAGACTCATTTGGTCTAATAAAAGATATCACATCTACCCTGAATAGAGTAGTGAAGATTTGGGCATCTTTCACTCATCACATCCAAGCTGCTAATATTCTCCTAGGAGTATCTTTAGACCCTACCAAAAAGTATTTTTACACCAACATCCATTTATAATAGTTTGTCTTTGAGCTGTGACAAGCTGGTTTGTTAAACATTCTGCAGCACATCCATGCCATGCTCCCCCACCCTAAATAATAACCTCAATACAAAATCATAGACTAATAACACAAACTCTACATGTCTCTCTGGCAGGCATGTTTCCCAACAAAAAAAATTAATTTTTAAAGATGACATGGCCCAAGGGTGGGTTGTCTTTTAAGATAAATTTGCTGAGAAAAACAAAGCTGTATGCATTTCACCTTTTTATGGTATAGTCCTTCTGTCTCAAGTGATCCCACCAATGGCTGCCTACAGGCTTGCAGGGGCAAAAGAAAATTATTGACTCTGGTGTGCAAACAAAGTACATTATTCCAGGAAGCTTTAGGCAGCATTGAATAAAGGTCCAGGAAGTAAACACTTTCTCCATTATTTTGTGTGTTGGAGCAGGAGGAATTTGAAAATGCTTGGTGTTACTTCAAGAGCAGATCCTCCAGCATGTTAAGCAGCAGCATATATGCACCCCAGTCTGTTAGACAGAGATATAAATTAAGTCCTATGTATATCCGCTCAATGGAAAGAAGTGGAGCTGAGAGATGCATATCCTTTAGGATGGAGCGATGGGAGAAAGTCCAGTAGTATATCACAGCATATAGGGTGTTTGGGACTGTGGTATTTAAGGGTACTAGAATAGGCATCCTGGAGGAGGAGCCTTTTGAACAAATGGTGGCCTGTGAATGCAGAGAATTGGGATTGATGACCTGGGAAGGCCATTTGTAGCCATACGTAATATGTGAAGATGTTGAGCTGAACTAATGTCAATATGAAAATTCTCCCAGTGCACCAAAACCAGATTCTCCTTCACCTATCCAATCCCTCCCTAATAAGTCTTCTCATGGTTTCCTTGTCCCCTATATGAGAAACAGATAAGTCTCACAACATATTCTATCGGTCAGCACATGGAAAATCTAACAGACTGGGGGGAACAGGTAACAAAGCTTGAAGATTTTTTGCCGAAAAATGTCTTTCACTCGGCATTTTCCCTTTCAAGTGAAGGCTCTTAAGTCAGACTTCTCCACAACTGTTCACATCTGTGGAATCACACAAAGGGTAAGAGGTTGTCTGTAAGGTAAACAGAACTCCAGGCCATTTAAAGCCTATATAGGTCAATAGCAACACCTTGAATAGCACCAGTAAGAAATTGGAAACCAGTGCAGACTATGGGTGCACAGGTGTAATATGCTTCTTGGAGGAAGTGCTGCAAAGCAAAGCAGCAGCCACATTCTGCACAAGCTTGGAGTTTGAGGATATTTGCATGACTACATTGAAGAAAGAAACAAGCAAACATGGGTTACTAATAAGCATGGAAACTTGGTTAAGCAACCAAAAACAAGTATGGTAGAATTTGTAAAACTAGAAAGAAAATGTGAACAGCTGGCCGCCTGATTGTTGTCCATGGGCCCCTGATTAGGTCAGCTTTAGAAAGCTTGTAATTGGT